CTTTAACTTCCATGTCTACATAATGTCAAATGAAAACTAACATAATTTCCTATCTCCCATATGTGTCTCCTCAACTGCTACAGTACAAATATATTCCGTATTATATTTTCCATCAAAGTTTAAAAGCAATGAAAATACTTATTTAGCAACATAGGAGGGACACAGATCATTATTTACCAATTCGTCCATGTAACTCTTACACAAACTGGTGGTCATCTTACCAAGCAGAAAAAAGAATTATACATCAGAGACAGAGTTAATCTGTTGCCATCCATCCCTACCCCCAGGATCTAATTTCATGAACATGAAAATGTGTTTAAGTTAATTAACTCCATAAATCAGGGTGTTTTTTTTATTTTTTATATGACTTGACCTTATTACTTCTTGTATCACTCCAGAATGTACAGTTTTCCCCCCTTGCCTCAAGAAAAACAGTAGAAATGTTAAAAGAGAGAGAGAGAGAGAGAAATATTTGTCATTGCTAAGATTGAGGTCCTGCACAGAGAAAAGTCTGTGAAAGGATTCCAGCACAAGAGATAGTTATGTCAAAGAGCTCAATAACTCCTGGTCATCCTGTATGCCTTGCTGCTTGTAGGTACCATATGCTGCCTTGTGTTCCATATTGGAAGGAAGGTTGGGTACAAATTAAATCAATAAATGTTGAAAACCAAGGGTGCTCTGTGTCCCTTCTCTGCAGACAATCCCTTTTTGTAAACTACTAAGATTACTCTTATCTATTACAATCATTATTTCTCCCAGTGATTAAGAAGCTGACTTGCATGGCAAGCTTTTTTCCATTGATATTGCTCTGAGAAGATAATCTAGATAAAGATGTGTATTGTCAGCACTAACAGGTTAATGAGGAAAAGGCACCAGAGGACAAGACATGGTATTTAGGATGCTAACCTTTAAAAGCAGATACAGAGAAATGTAAATTTATCCAATCAATGACAGAATTCACATGTGAAAATGCTGAAGTCTGATATATAATCCGATAGCTAAAATAATCCTGTAATCTTCAGGATGGGGAAAATCAAGGGACCAATTTCACACATTCCCCTATGGTCCAAAATGCAGGATGCACACATCACTGAAATTCTGGTTTAGTCTAAAAGAAATGGGCAAGAATGTCTTGCATTTTTAAAAAAAACTTTTTGGAGGCTACAAAGAAAGGAGCAGCAGCCAAAAAAAAAGAAAAAAAGAAAAAAGGACATTGTAGTCATGTCATGGTGTCTACATGGTGGGGGATGAATATAGCCATAGCCATGTACTATCTATTCCTGTTTAAGAGAAACCAGTAAAAACGGCACAGAATAATAAATACCAGTATCTTTCAAGCTAAAATTATAACAATTTGCACTCTGGTTTGATACATTCTCCTCATACTATTTCACACTTGACAACACAGTCTCTGGAAGCAATGGTCAGAATCCATTTCTCTCTAAATAAACTTTCTCCAATTTACATCAGAGCTGGTTGGGTTCTTGCCCAGTGAAACAGTGTGTGGTCCCTGCCAACATGTAAGATAGGGCTTAATTTTGCTGTTATGGAGATAGCTAGTCCGATTAAGGAAGCACTGGCAAGAATTTCTAGGAAATGAAGGCCAAGGAAAGTCCTTTCTCCATAAACATAGCTTCACATCTAAATGTTTCCTGAATTGTGTGAAAAGATGGATCCTGGAAATATCACCTTCAAGGATACAGAAAAATATCTGCATCTATGGATACTATATGAAAAATAGCCACTGTATTTCATTACATAATAATAACCCCCCCCCTTTTTTCTCCTTAAAAAAGGAGGGTTGCAATATATGTGCAGGTGAGCAAGGTCTACAGGGCTACCTATGGATGGCAGCAGTCAAAGGAAACCTAGCTCTTGCGTCTTCACTCATTCACACAACTTCTCCTCTGACCTTGGGGGACTGCTCCAAGGAGCAGACAATTGGGCGGGGTGGGGGTCTATTATACGAGGGAAAAGGGAACCCCAAAATGGATGTTTGATTATTACATGATGATGACTATTATGCGATGAAAGCAACAGTCAGGGGCATTTTGCTGATAACGTGGCAACCATTCTCTCACCATAAAACTGACCTGATCTGAAAAATGCAGGAAAGAAGAGCTCTGATAAAGTAAAAGCTTGTTCAAAAACCTTAAGAACAGCAAAAAACAAAAAAACAAAAAAACAATACAAAAACATAAAAGCCACCTTTTGGAGAATATGCTCTATGGGATTTTGAGGATGTATGCTTTTTTGTGTCAGGGGTGACTTGAGAAACTGCAAGTCACTTCTGGTGTGAGAGAATTGACCATCTGCAAGAACGTTGCACAGGGGACACCTGGATGTTTTACCAACCCATGGGAGGCTTCTCTCATGTCCCCACATGAGAAGATGGAACTGAGATAGGAGCTCACCCCGCTCCCCGTATTCGAACCACTGACCTTTCGGTCAGCAGTCCTGCCGGCACAAGGGCTTAACGCATTGCACCACTGAGGGCTCCAGGATGTATGCTGACAGCAACAGTAAGTGTTGTATCTTTCAAATGGAAACAGAAACAGCATCTCCTTAAATGGATATTTGTCTCCTAGCTAGAGGAAGGAGCAGAACTTCAGCAGGGGCTTAGTGACACTGAAAGGCTACTTGCCTTTAAGGTATTGTTTAACAATCTAAATGAACTGGAAGCATCAACAGCAGTAGTGGAAAAAAGTTTAAACAATCTCCCACCCAAATATATTGTGAACAAATGTTCAACCTCATATACACAGAATGATGGACATGGTCTCTCTTAACTTTCTTTTTATAAAATAAATTACCTATAAATTTATATATTCTGGAAAGGCACTGAATAACAATTTGGAGAATGCATCCCTTACTAAAACAGGATCAGTTTATACAAAACAAATGCAGCTTCTATACCAGAACCAGTGTTGCATAGGTCCCTTAACTTCAATTTTGCAGTGGGTCCAAAACGATGCAACCAGACTGCTATCTGGTGCTACTTTCAGGAATATAACTCCTTAGAAAAACTTCAGTGCCTACCAATTTGTTTCTGGGCTCATTTTAAACATGCTATTTGTTTTTAAAAGACTTGTGCCACTCAGACCTAACCTGTCTGAAAGAACATCTCTCCAAACATGAGGTTACCCAGGTTTTAAGATCCTTGGGGAGGGCTTTCTCTTGGTTCCACTGCCATCACAAACACTACTGGTGGGGATATAAGAAAAAGCACCCTTGGTGGTTACCACCACACTGTGAAATTCACTCCTATAGGGAACTAGGGTGACCACCCATCTACTCTCTTTCCACTGGTAGGTGAAGACCTTTACTCAAGACTTTGAATATTAACAGTATGTTTCAGGAGGTTCTTTATTTGTGATGGGCGATTTTTTATATTTTATCATCATTCTGTTTTAAGGTCTTTTAAATATTGTTTTAAATGAAATGGGGATTAGGTTGGATGGCCCTTGAGGCCTCTTCCTACTCTCATGATTCTATGAATGTTTTAAATATTTTTTTACCATTTCTATTATCCATTTTAATGAATTTGGGTCCCATATTAGTAGAAAGGCAAGATATTACACACATAACTATGAAAGTAAGTAAGAAACGGAAACTAATGTTAAGGAGAGCAGTAATTTGGGAATAGATAAACAACATGCTAGGCTATGACTAGGATATTACTCAAAATGTGTAGTGTTACACACACACACATACACACGCAACTCTCAAAAATAGCACATCTGATGGAGAGAAGTAGGGGGAGCACAACCGGTAGTATTGGAAATGGCAAGACCAATAGTGGCAGCATATTCTGAATAACATTCCAAACTTAATAGGATCAAAATAATTTGGAATTTCAGTAAATTGGCTTATTATTCTGCTGAAGTTGACCTTTATTGTTGACACTCTATTGTGGCCTCCAATTCCCAGAAACTCTAGACAGCTTATTCAATTGTCAGGAATTCTGGAAGTTGGAGGCCCAAACAGCTGGAGGACCACAGTTTGAAGATGACTCCTCTATATTATGATCCAGAATTCAAATCCAATGAAACTCATGTAATTCAGGCAGTTCCTGAATTACAAACACCCAACTTACAAATGACTCATAATTAAAAACAGGGGTGATACAACAAGGAGAGAAATCTACCCATAGGAAGGGAAATTCACTCTTATCATGGAGAAAAGGTGTCTCCACTGAAGCTTTATCATCAATCCTCGTTTCCACACCAAGCCAAATTTTTCAAAATGCTTAGAAATCCAAGGCTGCTCTAACTTTCTGAAAATAATCTCCCCCACCAACATTTTTAACATTTCAGATAATTCTTTGAATCTCACTTAAATCCTTTCTTCAAAATCAATTGTTCCAGACTTACCTGGAGATTAATTTTTTAATAAGAAATAGAATCACTCTGAAAAGGAATCATGAGAGAATGCTAGATTGCCCTCAAGAGAATGACAGGATTAATGATCTAAAGATAAAAAAGGAACTTCCCCGAAATAAGAGGAGAGGAAATATACATGAAACACCTTTCTTTAGGGAGTTTCATTTTGCTATCTTTGCAATAAAAAGCAGCACTTATAAGATGATAAGAGTTGAAGGCGATGCCTCTCAACACCTGCTGTGGCAGTTGGCTTAATAGCAGTCCTTTGCAAGATTTGACAATTACACCCACATTCCTCTGGGAGGGATTAATTGTTTGCTAAAAATAAAAAGGAGATTTGCATCTTGAGTGAATTGCCTGAGCAATGTGCTATTTGATAGAAGGTGAAATTAATCAACCTCTTAGTTGATGAGCCTAGATTTTATTTCAAATGGCCAGATTTAAATCAAACTCAACTAAAACATGTAAATTAGTTCTAAAGACATATCCTACAGAGTCGTACCTGATGCACAATACAATTAGTGAAAGACTGTGGATGAAGGTACAAGATTTAAAGGGGAGAGTGAGAGCTGGCAAATAAAATTTTAGAGGTAAAATGAGAAAGAAAGGCACACCTACTATAGTTCCAAAGCATCTTGGCAAATTGATGGATGTGTGCTTCAATACCTCCATACTGAAATGGGTAACCTAGACAGAAAAAGATTCAAACTATTACAAAATGTTTAAGAGGAAACTCATTCTTCTCTCTATATACCATGAATTTGTTGCCAGTATCCCATTCATGTTCTAGCCAGAACTGGGACTTCTTAGTTTCCCAGATCAAACAGGATCTGGAAACTTTGAGTTATTGAAATCTCTCACACATCCTGGCAAACATAATCTATTTTGCCAGGGCACTGCTAAGGAGGGTTTGGATTCAGCAGTTGGCTAAAGTTCTTTCCATCGATTTTTATCTCTCCTTCCTCCAAATTTAATCCTGCTTTACATATATTTTCAGCACATAGATTAAATAAATAGTGTAATAACATACAGCTCTGCCTAACCCCGTTGCCAATTGGAAACAATTATATTTCTCCATATTATGTTCTAACAGTACCCCTCTTGTCATGAATACGGGTTACGTATCAGGACAATACAATGTTGTGGCACATCTGTATCTTTAAGAGCAATCTATTTAAGAAAATCAATTTTATTATTCAACTAATACAGAATTTAAAAAGATAAACATTATATTCCTGTTATTCTGCTCTGCGTTGCTAGGTTTATACATGGTAGATTTCAAAACAGGGGCCACTAAATGACATTCTGTTTAGCCATGTGTGCATAAATTAAACTACACACAAGAGTAAATTACCTGCCATAGTGCAAGAAATGCTTTCTGCTGACAGTCTCAGGGCTGTACATACAGCAATGTTGTGTACTGATACAGTGGAGCCTTCTCTCAAATGCAGAGTCTCTTCAAAGGTTGGCAGAATAATGTCTTGTTGATGTGGAAAGTGAATATAACCTTAGCCAAAAAGGTAGCATCAGGCCTCAAAATTACCCAGTTGGTATGGAAAGGCAGGTATGGACTGAACAAAAGCTTACCAGCGCATCTGACTGAAACAACAGCCATGAGGAAAGCAGTTTTCCATAAATGCAAAGATCTCAGGTAGCCACAGCTTCAGAGCTGGGACAACACAAGATTAAAACTTTATTGTGATGCTGGGTCTAACATCAAAGGCTGGAGGTTCTTATAACCTTTTAGGAACTTATTTGAACACTCGGGAAATAATTACAGCAGATTAAGATAAATTCACCCTGTCCTACTGAAACTTTTAGGCATCCTAGTAAATGATTATGAGTGTGAAGTTGAATTCAAATGAGTTAGCAATTTAGATCAGAACCAGGGGTAAATTTATTCTGGACCAATTCATCTAGACTGAGTATTTTATAAACAAGTTTAGAACTCCAAGATAATGTAGAAGGAAGACTAGAAGTGTGAATGGACTGAATCCCAGTTTAAAGCAGGCAATCTGCAACACTTCCATTTCTAAAATGATTAGCAGTATGCTATTTTTGCTGGAGAATGTCAGCTCTTACATGGCAACATGCTGCAGCAAAGCTTTTTTCAAACCGAGTCTCTTATCTAAGTGCTAAATCAAGAGAAAAATGCTTAATGAACTGAACATATCCTATGGACAGCTACTTGGCAACTTTACAAGTCTTTGAAACTGAATTATATTTCAAGATTTGCAAAATGCACAGGTAGCAGAACTCAAACAGCTCCACTATTGGTAAGTAATAGACCATAACAGCAGGAGACAATTCAGGGAATCAAAAGACCATTACTTTTTAAAAAAATTGTGTGCACCTGAGTACAATTTGAGTAAAATTCAACATTACTCTCGCCAAACCTGTAGCCTCTCAAGCTTCCAAATCTGCTCCCCCCCCCCCAAATTTTAATGGGATCACTTTTTCTGCAGTTTGATGAAACCTACATGCTGTGTTACAAATGAAGACTAAAACAATTTGCCAATTGGTCCATGAAGATAAAATATGAAGTATAATAACAAAATATAATCTTTGACAAGAATATTCTGATATCAAACTGGTTAAAAAAGGAAGAAGATATGATTACTTGAAAATCACTTGCTAAGACTATATGCATCACAGAATTTACCACAATATCTTTCCCAAGCGTTTAGAAATGTGACTTTTTTTCAGTGTAATTCTCATCATCTAGCATAGCAGGATTTGTGAATTGTCTGAGAAATATAGTCTAAAAACATCTTTTTCAAGCTCCTTTAAAAAAAACAACAACATTCTGACATCTCAAAAGAAAAAATTCTAAAAAGAACATGGTTGTATAAATGGGATTCCAAAGATAATACAAGATAGATTCATTTAGTTTCTCACCATACGGTAGATGACATCATAACAATAAGGAAAAACAAGAAAACATAAGACAGTACAATTTTAGAAAGTTTTCAGTAATTTCTTTAGACTACACATATTTGTATGGCTTTTTTTAAAAAAATGATTCCTTTAAAAAAAAAGGACATGAACTATGCTGTTGGGGATGGCTTTTGGGTGATTTATAAGCATTTTCATAAGTAATTATGCTCTCCATACATAAAGACAATCAAATGACAATCAAATGACAATATGGGGATAACACTGGTCTCAGAGGACTGCTGGACTATCATAAGTGAATCACTTTGAATATCTGAAATTTTCTGTACTGTTACACTTTCAGTAAAACTGTTGTGAGATAGATGAGAACACACAAAAAATGCAACAAAGGTGACTTTGCACCAAACTGAGGAGTCTCAAAGAGGGAGAAAAAATGCAACTCTAGTTGCTGTGTCAGCATGGCATAATCAGCTATTAGATATCCCTTAGCGATACTGCTTGATGCCATTACACAGCAGTGGTTCCTTTCAACTCCTTTTAAAGGAATTAACACAGCACTGCACTACCTGTATTTGTTTAATATCTCAGTGACCTACATGTTTTCTTTGCTGAATCAGAAATCTTCTGATTAATCTCTACACCTACGACTGAACCCTGCAACCAAGAAATTTCTGACTGAGCTTGATATAGAATTTCAATGCATAGGTAAAAGTATTTTTAAAATCATAATATATTATGCTCAGGAAAAATCTTTTAAAATATTTATCTGCAAGGTCAGTTTGGACTATAAAAATGCTGACTGTTAAGATGGTATGTAGCAATATAGTAAGCCCCTGCCCCCCAAAACCGTGGAACACTTATCAGCCATTTCACTTATTTGCTCCTGAGGGGAAATGCTCTCTTTAGGAATTTGCTAGGTCTTCCAGCATGATTCCATTGTATGCTGGAACAGGAAGCCAGGTAATTCAATGGTTTTCAGTCATAACCACAGTTTCAGGTACATGTGGTCAGGCTGTGGACATATCCTCCATGGATATGAGGATCCTACTATATATCTGAATGAAGATAACATTTTGAATTCATACCACTACTATTCTTAATGTGTATGAATAAGATAGATAATGATATAAAAAAATCTGATAATATAGCATTTATGAAGTTATGTCATTTTTGTAGTTATAGTATTGTGGTATCACTAACAGTGATATCATTAAAGTATTTTGTTTGATTAGAATTACTCCCAGAACAACTATCACCAACAACTAGTACTTATCACTATTACTACTACTCATTTGGCCAGCCCTGACATTCAAAGAAGCTTAAAAATACTAAAACAGGTAAATGCATCCCCCAAATTACAAACATTAAAATATAATGAACCAAAAACAATAAAGGAAATTTAAAAGTATGATCACTTATTTAAAAAACACAGACAAAAACAACACATTATTAAAAGCCATTTCCCCTAAAGCACTCAGTTCATTTTTTTTAACCTATTGCCACAAGAACACCATGACGGGGCCAATTTTAGTCTCTTTAAGGAAGGGCGTTTCAGAGCCTGGGAGCAATCCCCAAAAAGGCAGTTACCTGTGTACAATGCGTATGTAACTTTTTATTTTTCCATTTCCTTGAAATCTGGTTTACAGATTGAATCATTTCTAAATTAACTCGAACGCTGGCTTAGTTCAGATTATCCTGTGTTGACCTGAATTTCGTTCATCTGTTATTTAACTTTCATTGTTTACAGCAGTAATGTTTTAGGGGAAGGGATCCAGAATAAATAGTTCTGCCTGTATCTTCAAACCAAGATGCAAAGAGAACACTGCTACAGCAAATGCTTGCTTTATGTTTAGCAGCAGAATTTTCATATGCCATAAAAATGTTAACAGCTTCAGAAAAAGTTAAAATTTTTAAACCTTGGATTAAAGTTGGTTTAAGATCCTACCTAGGAACCATAACCAGAAAACTAGGAAGTTCTCAATTCATGCTGAGAGGGGATGAAGAAAGATGTGGCATATGGGTCCACAAGACCCATTGAGATATGACCAACCAACTGAGCCACTGTATTCACTGTTTTATGAGAATTCCCAAACATGGCAGGTGTCCTGGGATAATGTACAATTTTAAAACCCAGCATAGATTGCAGATCCTGAATTTCATTCAAAACAGACCATTTGTGGCCTTGGAATATGCACCTTAACCTTAAGACAAACTTTATGCATCTCAGTTTGCAGATTAACTGGTCTTTGGGTTTAGAGCAAACATATCTGAAGTGCAGCCTACACTGTGGCTTAATCTGTTCTGCTGACACCATAAAAGCGGAACTATAAAAAGGAAGGCTAAACCTATAAAAAGAGGTGGCTGAAAGGATGTAGTAATTTAATCTTTTAGATGGCTTCCTTTAAACTGAAGTGGATCTTTATTATATTCTTTAGCTTTCCAACACTGTGTTTTCATCCAAGCATATACAGTACCTGGACTCTGCTGGATGACATGGGTCACTGTTTTATTTGCTGTCTAAGCCTATGACATATATTGATTTTGGTTTCATTTCTTCTTTATGAAAAAACAGGGTCAGTAATAATTTTTTTTGCATGCAAAAGCGTATTGGTGCTGCCAAACTAAAACCATTCAATATTTACTGTTCTATTTGTTGTTGTTGTTTTCAAATGTACCTTTGGCAGACATTAAATAATAATAAATGTTAGCTTTGTTTTCAGATGAATTTGCTTTTCCTCTAAGTGTGGCACAGTGAGGACAACAAAGCATCTGTTCAAGGAGCATTCCACAAC